ATCAACGCAGCGACGCAGACAAGATATCGAACGGTGGGCGGACCATGTTAAGTTTGGTGGAGTCTGTTAGAAGTCCATGGCGCCTAGGGTCCTAGTGACGCGTTTCGATGTAGAAAGGTGGCGCTACCTTTGCACTTGCGTACCCAGCACTTCTAGCCATGGTAAGGGCTTCTTAGGTGGGTCTGAGCCCGAACTTTGCCTTTAAGCCATACCTAGGCTTACTGTCAATTGCGTGGGCTAAGGCCCACAGAAAACTATGATTCTACGGAGAAGAGAAATACTACGTATATACTACTAAATAAACAAATTAGCGGAAATAACTGTCTTTTTTCTTGTCACAACATTATCGCTATGAGCTCTTGGAATGTTATTCAGATGGTGAACCTGTTCTCCGACTTCGGTGGCAACATCGGTCTTTGGATTGGATTCTCTGTGATCACTATTTGTGAAATCATCGAACTTATATTCGAAATTGGCTACTACCTGCTTTACATCAAACCAGTGCGGTAAGTGCAGTTGAGCTTTTTTTCCCGAGAATACTTCGGAGCTAGCAACATGACTCTCCCTAGAAAGTGGCGCGGTCTTGTCCCAGTAGTTATCTAATATTCTCGTGCACAAAACCCAAGAGGTCGCGCTGGCTTAGAGCTCGAATTGCTTAGATGATGTGGAAATACAGTATTGTTGTTTCCCATGCAACAAAAACATGAACCTAAATACTCATGGACTGATTTTGTTCAAGGGAGTGTACGAAATGGATTGGTGATAGCGGAAGCATGTTGTAGCATTTCAAATTACAGTTGAACATCGACGGACACCACTCCAAGTTCCTAGTATATGTACAATATGGGAAGGTGGATAGTGTAGAGCTTGAGCTTACCATTAGCCAACTAGGCAAAATGATCCCTGACTTATTTGTAACGTCACGGATGATCAGATGAGCAGGACATCACATATAATTTCGAAAATGGTCTTTGGCTTGGAGATTGTCGTTCCAAATCGCATTCCCAATGTGAAAAGCGAATAGCTCTTCACGAAAAGGTTGATAGGCGACAAATGATTTCTCCTCCATCTTTTGTAGGCAATTCAAGGGTT